GGATTCGAACCCGCCACCTTAGGTGTATGTGGCTGGCGCCTTAGCCACTTGAGCCACAGGCGCCGAGCCAAGCCTATTTTTGAGCTTTTTATAATGTTTATATTGTTTTGGTTTTTACTACTAATTTTTAAAATCCCTCATTACATTGCGTAGCATTTTTGGTCACCATGTTAGACGTAACGCAGTGTTTCTGCTAATCTGCATGCTTTCCTTGGTAGTCTTCCTTTTTCCATCAACATGGGTGTGCCACCAACGACACCAACGCCAAATACAACAGTCGCGCTGCTCAGCTCTACAGGGAGAAAATCAAGTCACTCGCCTCCCAGGCAACACGGGAGCGCGGCACCGATGTAAGTCACGGGGAGATGGAAGGTCTCCTAGACGTGTGCTCACGTCAGCAGAAAAGTGGGTTCTATCCTGAGCAGTAAAAATTTTCTACCCAAATTCTCTTACAAGGAGATGATGTGCAGTTGATTCTCATTATTTGGGATAATTATGCTCCATAAATTTGCTGTGGGCACTGAATTGATGGGAGCTGAAATATCACTCCTGCAGGAGGTATAGGATTAGGAGCCTCTGGTCTCATTTTCATCAACTGATCCATACACAACCTTATTCAACATATGTTTCTGTTTAAAGACACCTTATTTAATATATATAGTTGGTTCATGAACATTGAATTCACAGCCAAGGGACTATAACTCAGAATGAAACTTACCTGACACTTGTATTGTCTCCATAAGGCAGAGGCAGCCTTCGTGTGCTGAAGAATGTTAGGCCACCTTCACACTGCACTTGAGGGCCATTTTAAACAAGAAGTCATCAGTAAAAAGCACAAAAACGTGATAAACTGCAAAGAGCACACTTGTTTACAAGTGTGAGAACCGAAACAAGAAGGCCAAGTGTGCCTTGTTCTACATCAGCTGGGGCCGCGCTTGCTGGGCGACTCATTTTGTGCTGTTTGGTACATGTCTTCAAAGGACTGTGAAAACCCCATGAGTACTTATTTGGAGGTTACAAGAAATATTAGCAAGTAGGTGCGTTTGTAAATGTGGAATCCATAAACAATGAGGATTGACAGTAGGATGGAACCTGCACTTGGATGTGGAGTCCATCTGGGTGTGGCGGCTCACCTGTAACCCCAGCACTCTGGGAGGCCACAGCAGGAAGATCACGTGAGCCCAGGAGTTTGAGATCAGCCTGGGCAGCATAGCGAGTCCCTATCTGTACAGAAGATTTAAAAATTCACTGCACATTACGGTACCTACCTGTAGTTTTAGCTACTTGGGAGACTGAGATAGGAAGATTGTTTAAGTCCAGAAGTTCAAGACTGCAGTGAGCTATGATCATTCCACTGCTTACTGTCCTGGGCAACAGAGTGAGATCCTGTCTCTAAAAGAAAAAAAGATATAAAATCCTTGATCTTTTCTTTTCAGAGGTGGTTTGTGGAGTTGGGGTAATTGACTTCCTTAAGGTCAGGAAGGAAAATTTACTGAATTGACATATTACTAAAATATACTCAGAGGCCCTCTGTAGGCATGTTACTGATGATTTTATAATAATGGAAAGTACCAATCCTTAGAAAACAGATCTCTAGAAGAAGAGGAAAGAGTATGAAATAAAACTTAGAGGCCAGATGAAATGCTAAGCCTTGTTTGTGTGTCTGTTCCAGCTGTGGCTTGACAGTTGTGTGGTTCCGCCTTCATCCCTTCCACCAAAAGAAGAAGATTTTTTTGCCTCTCATGTTTCTCCAGAGGTAAGTATCATGCTTCACATAATTTTAAAGTCTACTTATTTGGACAGATATAAAAGGAATGTGTTTAAAATGTTTCAGTTAGGGTACAAGCTAAACTGTTATAACAAGCAACTCTGGAGCTGGGCACGGTGGCTTACACCTGTGATCCCAGCATTCTCAGAGGCCAACGTGGGTGGATTGCCTGAGCTAAGGAGCTGAGACCAGCCTGAGCCAGGGTAAGACGCTGTCTCTAAAAATAGCGTGTGTTGTGATGGGGTCCTTAGTCTCAGCTACTTGAGAGGCTGAGGCAAGAGATGGCTTGAGCCCAAGAGTTTGAGGTTGCTATGAGCTATGACACCACGGCACTGTATGGAGGGTAACAAAGTGAGACTCTGTCTCAAAAACAAACAAACAAACAAAAAACAAGCAGCTCTGAAATCTAATCGTTTAAACAAGAGAGAAATGAGTTGACCATCAACAGCTCGCAGTGGGCTATCCAGGGTAGACAGGCGGACTTGCCTTGCTATTCTCAACACGTGGCTTCCATCACAGGCTCTCAAGTGGCTGCTCCAGTTTAAGGCCTTTCCTAGCCAATGATAAGAGGACAGACCTTCGGGAAAGCAAATGCCCCATATTTTTAGAGAAAAATTCTAGAAGTAGTATGTATCACTTTTGACCAGCTGGCTGGAATTTAGTTCTGTGTCTGTACCTGGTAGTCTGACAGGTTAATTCAGAGCTTTGGCACTGACAAAAAAATGAAAATAGTTTTAATAGGGGTTTGAATCCCAGTGTCCTGATTTTACTATGTACATAGTATGTATCTCAAGGCTATTGTGAGGATTAAATGAGTTAATACAGGAAAAGTAATTGGTGCTTAGCACAGAGTCAGCCTTCAATAAATCCTGTAGGTGTCCTCATTATCCTCATCTTGGTGGTTTGATCGCAGCCATGACACCAAACCACAGGACTTCCGTGGGGTTCTCCTAGTCTTGTTGGGGAGGGGACACTATTTGCTGAATTGCTGCTCAATCCATTCTTTAATTTTCAAGTTAAAATTACGTAAACTTACATAAATTGCTGAACCTTGATTTTTTTAATGTTATAATTTACACATGTTATCATTACTATAGTCAATAGTTACTAGAAAGCTGGCTGGTGGTACATGCCTGTAGTCCCAGCTGCTCAGGTGGCTGAGGCAGGAAGATCACTGGAGTGTAGGAGTTCAAGTCCAGCCTGGGGAACATAGAAAGACCCCAGATCTACTAAATGATTGAATGACTGATGGTTACCAGAACTAGTTATCAAAAAGTACGAAACAGAACACAAAAGATAAGCTGTTCTCTTATGATGTATTCCTATTGTTATACATAGAATTAGATATAGAATAGCCATGATTAGATAGCTGAGAAATGTTAGGAGTAGGAATGATAAGCTAAAAAAAAGGAGAAACATGAACAGTGTAGTGTGGATTATAGTTGAAGATACCACAAATTAATGTTTAATCTCGCTCTTTCTGTATGTGGATGAACACACATGCAGAGATAGATAATTAAAAATGCACATGTGTAGCTGGACCTTGTGGCGGGCACCTGTGGTCCCAGCTACTTGGGAGGCTGAGGCAGGAGACTTGCTTGAGCCCAGGAGTTGGAGGTTGCTGTGAGCTGTGATGCCACAGCACTCTACCCAGGGGGACAGCTTGAGGCTCTCTCTCAAAAAAAAAAAAAAATGCACATGTATTCATAGATTAGCACACATAGGCCCTGCACCTGTGGCTCAAGCAGCTAAGGCGCCAGCCACATACACCTAAGGTGGCGGGTTCAAATCCCCAGCCCGGGCCCGCCAAACAACAATGATGGCTGCAACCAAAAAATGGCCAGGCGTTGTGGCGGGCGCCTGTAGTCCCAGCTACTTGGGAGGCTGAGGCAGGAGACTCGCTTGAGCCCAGGAGTTGGAGGTTGCTGTGAGCTGTGATGTCATGGCACTCTACCCAGGGGGATAGCTTGAGGCTCCATCTCAAAAAAAAAAAAAGATTAGCACACATATACTTAGATTACCTAGCTTTGTCCGCTAAGGGGACCCAGAGACAGTGACACCCTAGTACCACAAGCAACCTCAAAATCCTGGGCTCAACCAAAATCCTTCTGCCTCAGCCTCCCAAGTAGCTGGTGCCATCGTGTCCAGCAAGTTTTTCTATTTTTAGGAGAGATAGGGCCTCACTTTGCTTAGGTTGGTGAGCTCAGGCAATTCTGCAGCTGCAGCTTCCCAGAGTGCTGGGATTACAGGCGTGTACAGACGTGTGTCCCCTTGGCAGCACAGTAGCTTCGTTTCCCTCAGTACCACCACCACGTGTGAATAATGCATTGCACTAGGATGTCAGTGTGTCCACCATGTCACTAGGTGATGGGAGGTTTCCAGGTTCGTGTAATCTTATAGCACCTGTTGTTGACTGCAATGTCAGATGTGGGGCGTGACTGTATATACTATGTGTGCTGTACTTCCCCTCCAGGAGGTGGAGCCTAACTTCCCTCCCTGTGAGTGTGAGCCAGACTTAGTGACTCACTTCACAAGACTAGAATATGGAAAAGGAAAAACAATGCTTTACAGCAGGAAAAACTGGCAGATGCCACCTTAACCGAGTGATCAAGGTCAACATCATGTGTTGAGTGACACTGATGTGATGAATGAGAACGCACTTCACCTCTGTGGTATTCTTCTGCAAACCTGAGTCTAATGATGAGAAAACAGACAAGCCCAGATTGAAGGCATTTTATAAAATACCTACCTGGTATCCTTCAACAGTTGCAAGGTCAGGAAAAACAAGGAGAGACTGCGAAACTGTTACAAGCCAGAAGAGACCAAGGAGGCATGACATAGAGCAGTAGGGGGACCCTGACCTGGGTCCTAGAGAAGCACTTTGGCAGAAAAGCTGGTGAACTCCAAATAAAGTCTAGAGTTTAGCTGACAGTGTTGAACCAATGACAACTTCTTAGTTTTGACAGCTGTATCATGGGTTTTAATGTTAGAGGAAGCTAGGTGAAGGTATCTGAAAACTACTAGCTTTGCAACTTTTGTGCAAATCTGAAACTATTCCAAAATAAAAATTTGATTTTAGGCTGGTGCAGTGGCTTATACCTGTAATCCTAGGGTTGAGGCGGGGGGATTGCCTGAGTTTGAGACTAGCCTGAGCAAGAGTGAGACCCTGTCTCTAAAAATAGCCAGGTATCGTGGCAGGCGCCTGTAATCCCAGCTACTTGGGAGGCTGAGGCAAGAGAATCACTTGAGCACAAGAGTTTGAGGTTGTTGTAAGCTGTGAGGCCACAGCGCTCTACCCAGAACAGCAAAGTGAGACTCTTTCTCAAAACATACATACATAAAATTTGATTTTAAAAAGAAGGGAAAAGAAGAAATTTGATCATTGAAACCGAGATTTAAGAATATACTTGTTTTAATTTTATCCTTTTCTGCTAAGCCACTAAACAGGGACTCAGAGGTGGCTTATTTAAATGGTTTGGTTTTTCTCCTGCTTTGATTTGTTTTTTACAACTGGTTTCTTGCTTTGTCTGCTAATGACTTTTTTCATCTCACTTTAGGTGAGTGGTACAGCCTGGGCCTCATCACCATCAGAACTGTCTTCTTTAACACCAAGGGCCGTGGAAACCACTCCAGAAAATAGTGAAGGTGGAGTCTTTACACTTGTCATGTAATGCCATTCCATTGCCTAAAACATTCTACAAAACTGTCACAAATTAAGACATAGACCTCTTTCTCTAGTAACAGGAAGAAATAGCCATGATAGATTATAAAGTGGGCAAAAATACTACTGAACATGGAATATGATCTCCTTTCTGTAAAAAAAAAAAAAAAAGGCTGGGCACAGTGGCTCACGCCTGTAATCCCAGCACTTGGGAGGCTGAGGCAGGCGGATTGCCTGAGCTCACGAGTTCCAGACCAACCTGAGCAAAATCAAGACCCTGTCTCTAAAAATAGCTGGGTGCTGTGGCAGGCACCTGTAGTCCCAGCTACCTGGAAGGCTGACACAGAGAATTGCTTGAACTCAAGAGTTTGAGGTTGCTATGAGCTAAGATGCCATGGCACTCTATGAAGGTGACCAGATGAGACTCTGTCTCAGAAAAAAAAAAGAGAACCAAACATACGCTCACAAAAAATATCCTGGAAGGCATTAAGTAGAGGATGAAGTTACTGAGGAGTTTGGTTTCTGCTCTCAATAGCACTGAAGTTTCTGAACTCTTATAATGAGCATTTTACTTTCTTTCTCTCTCTTTTTTTTTTTGAGACAGAGTCTCAAACTGTCACTCTGGGTAGAGTGCTGTGGCGTCACAGCTCACAGCAACCTCTCACTCGGGCTCAAGCGATCCTCTTGCCTCAGTTTTTCTATTTTTTAGTAGAGGCAGGGGTCTCACTTTTGCTCAGACTGGTCTTGAACTCGTGAGCTCAAGCTATCCACCCCCTCGGCCTCCCAGAATTCTAGACGTGAGCCAACGTGCCCTCCCAAGTGTTTTACTTTCATTAATCAGAAAAGATTGTAATTTAAAAACTATTATATAAGTAGTTGATACCTAGTGATTCACATTTGGTGAATTTATTGTCAGATTGTGTTTATTATAAATTATTTTTTTCAGTTGCTCACGTATTAAAACTCATTTATATGATGTGAATAGTCAGCTCTTCTTTCTGTTTTAAAATTGTGCATCTTTTGTTAGCCCAGCATATTAGTATAAATTAACAGCAAAAATGTAACTCTGGATGACTAGCAGTGAACTCATGAGATGAGGTCCCATAAGAAGTGCCGGCTCATATAAACTGAGCCTGGAGCAGCCTTATGAACTTACTATAACAGGAAAAACTGAACAGTCACCAAACTTTAGGTTGGATGAGAATATTCAGGGAATTTCTGGCAAGGATTTTGGACAGTAAGTGGTATTTATCAAGAAAAGAATCCAAGAAGATAGAGGCATTTGGCTTTATGCCTGAGGGCGGCTGTGGGCATGCTGTAAAGAAGAGGAATCGCTCCCTTTGTAAGGAGTATTTTTTTTTTTTTTGAGACAGTCTCATTATGTCACCCTCAGTAAAGTGCTGTGGCATCACAGCTCACAGCAACTTCAAGCTCTTGGGCTTAAGAGAGTCTCTTGGCCCTAGACACTGAGCTACTAGCGCCAACCCCCTTTGTAAGGAATTATAGGGGTAAGGTAGGATGGTCTGAGAGCAACAGACAGCGGAGGCCGGTGTTTCCTTTCATTGGTATGGGAGTAGACATATCAGTGAGTCAGGACAGGAGTGTTTCACATCCTGGAGAATGATGGGTTATTCACCAAATGGAATTTGGACAAGTGCCAAGGTATTTTAGAAAAAAATAATAAAACAAAGGAGAATTCCTTCTTTACACCAGACTAAATTCAGATGGATCAAAGATGTAAATGAAAGTATGATGGTCCCAGAAGAAAACGTGAGTGGAGCTTTACTACTGCCCTGGATTGAGGAAGCCCTTATATATATTCAGACCTTGTAAAAAGATAAGATTAATAAGTCTGACTGCATATGTGTATAGATTTAATGTTTCTATTCTGAAAAAGTTCTTTAAAGTGAAGACGAATGATAAACATTTGCAATCCATATATAGACAAAAAGGCTTATTTCCTTAATATGCAAAGAACTCAGCATATGATGTGGCTGTTTCATTCATGATTTGGATTCTGTGATTTGTTTTGCATTCATTTTTAGGCATATGGGCTTAGATCCAGTAAAGAAGACATTTATACACCTCTAACTGGAGTTTGGCTCTTTGATTTCTTAGCTTTACGCTGCACTGTGGCCACACCAGCCCTTAGGTTCTTTTCTGTGTTTGCTTTTTGTTTTGTTTGGAATGTGACACTTGTCCCCTGATCAGCAAGGGGCTGCCTCCTTATTGTAGTTTCACTTTAAAATAGTCAGGGTGTTGTGGCAGGTGCCTGTAGCCTCAGCTACTTGGAAGGCTGAGGCAAGATGATCATTTGAGCCCAAGAATTTGAGGTTGCTGTGAGCTGTGACACTGTAGCATTCTACCGAGGGCAACAAAGTAAGACTCTTGTTTCAGGAAAATAAATAAATAAATCCAGCCAGTGTAGTCACTCCTGCAGTTGTGTATTTTTAATTCCTCATAGCACACAGACCCAGTTCTGGACATTACTATTAGTTTGTGTGTCCACTTTGTATCCCCTCCACTGAGCTGTGAGCGCCTCCCTGGAAAGATTCATTTTTAAGATGAGAGATACCCCTTAGCCATTGATTGATTTAACATTATCTGTAAAGAGAGAAGAATTAATTTCAGCATTCTCCTGACTAACAAAGAGAAGCAGGGGGTTATGTATGCTCCGAAACAGTACAGATGATAATTTGATTATTGTTGCTATTACAATTTTTTTTTACTTTTATTTTTCTTTTTTCTCCTCATTTATTTTTTTCTTCTTCTCCTATTTTTTTTTTTTTTAACATGAGCTGAGTGATCCATGGTTATTACAATTTTTTTTTTTTTTTAAAGAGACAGAGTCTCACTCAGTTGCCCAGGCTCAAGTGTAAAGTGTATCACAGCTCCCTGCAATCTCAAACTCCTGGGCTCAAATGGTCCTCCCACCTCAGGTTCCTGAGTAGCTGAGACTAGAGGCATGTGTCACCACAACCAGCTAATTTTTACATTTTTTGTAGAGATAGTCTCCAGACACCTGGCCTCCAGTGATCTTGCTTTGGCCTCCCAGAGTACTAGGATCACAAGCATTTGCTACCACACCTGTTTGGGTGTCTTGTTGACTGCTATTTCTCCAGTGCCCAGAGAGGGGCATCAGTAAGCAGGTGCTCACAAAATATCAGTGTGCTTAGTCATCCCGATTTGCATATTTAAATGCCTTGCTCAGAGTTTACCTTTTAAATATGTATAAAGATGAACCAGCAGGGTTTCCTGTAAATCACTATTGGGCCTGGCATTTAAAAATATAGCATTGTTGACATGTAATTCACATGTCATAAAATTCACCCTTTTAAAATATACAGTTCCGTTTTCAGTACATTCACAAAGTTGTGGCATAACCATCACCATCTAATTTAAGAATATTTTCAGTTGGGTGCCCATAGCTCAGTGGTTAGGGCACCAGCCACATACTCTGGCCATTGTGGCAGGGGCCTATAGTCCCAGGTACTTTGGAGGCTGAGGCAAGAGAATCCCTTGAGCCCAAGAGTTTGAGGTCACTGTGAGATATGCCGCCATGGCACTTTACCTAAGGTGACAAAGTGAGACTCTGAGTTAAAAAAAAAAAAAAAAGAATATTTTCAGTCCCTTCCATTTCCCTCCACCCTGGTAACCTCTAATCCACTTTCTGCCTCTGAGTCTGTCTGGATCTGGACATTTAAGTTCCAGAGACTCACGATATGTGGTGGTCTGTGACTGGCTTTCTTTGGTTATAATTTTTTCAAGGTTCATCTATTTTGTAATACCTGTCAATATTTCATTTCTTTTTATGGCCAAATAATATTCCATTGAATATATATACTACATTTGTTATCTATTTTTATTTATTTGTTTGTTTGCTTATTTATTTAGAGATAGAATCTCACTCTGTCTTTCTGGGATTCAGTACTGTGGCATCATCATAGTTCACAGCAACCTCAAACTCTTGGGCTCAAAGGATCCTCTTGGCTTAGCCTCCCAGGTAGCTCAGACTACAGGTGCCTACTACAATACCTAGTTATTCTTTCTATTTTTTAGTAGAAATAGAGTCTCACTCTTGCTCAGGCTGGTCTCGAACCCCTGAGCTCAAGCAATCCACCTACCTCAGCCTCCCAGATTATAGGCATGAGCCTCTAATTATTATTTTTAAAATAATAAAATATACTTTTAATAAATGTTTAATGGATTTCCTAACCAGGATCACTTTTTAGGCAAACTAGAAAACAGGGCAGGCTGGGTGAGCGATTCGTGCCACTCTAGCTCTTTTGTTGGCCCAGGCAGGAGGATTACTTGAAGCCAGGAATTCAAGACCAGTCTGGGCAGCATAGTAAGACCCTGTCTCTACAAAAAGCATAAAAATTAACCAAGTGTGGTGGTGCATGGCTGTAATCTTAGCTTCTTGGGAGGCGAAGATGGGAGAATTTCCTGATCCTGAGGGTTTGAGGTTACAGTGAGCTATAATTGCACCACTATACTTCAGTCTAGCCAGGGCAACAGAATGAGACCCTGTCTCTAAAAGAATGAAAAAGAAAAAGGCAGCAAGGCAGATTTCTAGGCAACTGAAAATTTAGTTTCAATCATTGATATAATTGGTACTAGAATCTCCTAATGTTAACACATATTGAGAGTGTAGCCTGTATATGTACTAGGTATCTTACAACAGGTCACTTTAAAACCCACTAGATTGTGATGTGAGAGTACTACAGGGACCATTAACATTTCTATTCTGTAAAGCCATTGGATAAAAAATATATTTCTACTTCAATGAGATTTTAGATCAGAATTCTTTTTTTTTTTTTTTTTTTTTGTGAATCAGAGTCTCAAACTATCACCCTGGGTAGAGTGCTGTGGTGTCACAGCTCACAACAACCTCAAACTCTTGAGCTTAAATGATTCTCTTGCCTCAGCCCCCAAATAGCTGGGACTACAGGCACCCACCATAATGCCCGGCTATTTTTTGGTTGTAGTTGTCATTGTTGTTTGGCAGGCCTGGCTTGGATTTGAACCCACCAGCTCCGGTGTATGTGACTGGCCCCCTATCTGCTGAGCCGAGCCTAAATCAGAATTCTTATAATGATAGAATATAGAACCAAAAAGAAAGATATCATTGAGAGAACTGGATAAGATATGTACTATTGAGCAAATTGAATTATTATACAGTCAAGATCATGTTTGATGAGTATATTTTCTGCATTAATATCAATGTTTTAAATTTTCAGGGGGACCAGAACAAGGACCAAGTGTAGAAGATCTTAATGTACCAACAAAAGCTGCTTTGGGTAATATGCTTAAAACCCTATAATGGGGCTTAAAGAGTAAGGCTCATTAAGAAAAAAATGAATGCCTTCTTTGCATTCTGCCTAGGTGTCTCTATTGATAGCATTATGAATCTATTAATGAGATTTTTAAGCAAAATTTTCTGTATTTTAGCCAGATTTATGAATGTAAAATGCAGCCGTCTATACCCTTAATCACAATTGCTGTTGTTACTTTTATTTTTGTTTTGTTTTTTAAGTAAATAATTTGTATTTATTTATTTATTTTATTTTTTGCAGTTTCTGACCGGGGCTGGGTTTGAACCAGCCACCTCCGGCATATGGGGCCAGCGCCCTACTCCTTTGAGCCACAGGCGCCACCCAAAGTAAATAATTTTTTTTTTTTGGAGACAAGATCTTGGTCTGCTATCCAGGCTAGAGTGCAGTGGTATAATCATAGCTTACTGCATTCTTGAACAATAATACCTTGTCTCAAAAAAAAAGGAAAAATATTAAGTTGTTTTGTTTTGTTTTTGAGATAGATTCTCACTCTGTTGCCAAAGCTAGAGTGCCTTCGCATCAGCCTAGCTCACAAACTCAAACTAGCAACCTCAAACTCCTGGGCTCAGGTAATCTTCCTACTTCAGCCTCCCAACTAGCTGGGACTACAGGCACTTGCCATACCCCTAGCTAAGTTTTTCTAATTTTATTTTATTTATTTATTTATCTATCTATTTTTGCAATGGAGTCTCACTTGGTCACCCTTGGTAGAGTGCTGTGGCATCTTAGCTCACAGCAACTTCAAACTCTTGGGTTCAAGTGATCCCCTTGCCTCAGCCTCCCAGGTAGCTAGGACTACAGGTACCCACCACAGTGCCTGGCTATTTTTAGAGATGGAGTCCTGCTCTTGCTCAGGTTGGTCTTGAACTCATGAGCTCAGGCAATCCACCTGCCTGGGCCTTCCAAGTGCTAGGATTACAGGCGTGAACCACCATGCCCAGCCCAGTTTTTCTATTTTTAGGGCCTCACTCTTGCTCAGGCTTGTCTTAAACTCCTGAGCTCAAGGTATCCTTCTGCCTCAGCCTCCCAGAGCACTAGGATTACAGTCATGAGCCACTGCACTGGGCCTGAAAAAATTAAGATTTTTATTTTTGCTGAGTTTCTTAAACATAACTGTAAAAAAGAATCTATAAACTATGATTAAAATAGACTCATAAAATGATTTAAGAAACTTTCTCTAATAGCATCATGTGTTTGTGTGCAATTTAGAAAGTACTACTGCTAAGATACCAGAATGCTTTGTATTTTTTTTTTTTTGGCTGATAATGATAAAATATATGTGTGTGTGTGCGTGTATGTGTGTGTGTGTGTGTGTGATATGCATGCCAAGGTGAAGAAGCACATCCCTATTTGGGTACACACATAATGCCTGGCTAACTTTATACTGTAAAATAATTTTTTTTTTTTTTTGCAGTTTTTGGCCGGGTTTGAACCCTCCACCTCCAGCATATGGGGCTGGCACCTTACTCCTTTGAGCCCCAGGCGCCACCTGTAAAATAATTTTTAAGGTTTTCAAGAGTAGAGCTTAATAGAAGATTTTGTTCTAATATATACACTTAAAAATGTTCCTGAAGAGGCCAGGCACGGTAGCTCAAGCCTGTAATCCCAAAACCCTGGAAGGCTGAGGCAAATGGCTTGCTTGAGCTCAGGAGTTTGAGACCAGCCTGAGCAAAAGTGAGACCCCCGTCTCCACTAAAAATTGAAAAGAAGTAGCCCGGTGTTGTAGTCCCAGCTACTCGGGAGGCTAAGGGAAGAGAATCCCTCGAGCCCAAGAGTTTGAGGTTGCTTTGAGCTGTGATGCCACGGCACTCTAGCCAGGAGAACAGAGTGACACTCTGTCTCCAAAAAAAAAGGTTCCTGAAGGAAATACTGAAATTCCTGAGGGCAGCTCAGGCTCTTTATTTCTCTTCAGTGGATTGTTCAAACAATACATTCTCTCGGAGCTTGGACACCCAGTGGAGACACTTGAGTCTTCTGGCCTGCTAATATGGACAATGTGACAGCCTCTTAATAATGTACAGTGTCTTAGAATTTTAAAAGACACCCTAAAAAAGAATTATGTGTGATTTCTATTGGTCTGACATTTTTAACTTTTTTTTTTTTTGGCAGAAGTTTCCTCTATCATAAAGAAGAAACCGAATCAAGTTAAAAAAGGAGTGAGTATTATGTGACTATGTGTAACACACCTGGCAGTTCAGCTTGGAAACTAAAAAGCTACTTTGGGGCGGCGCCTGTGGCTCAGAGGAGTAGGGCACCGGCCCCATATACCGGAGGTGGCGGGTTCAAACCCGGCCCCAGCCAAAAACTGATAATGATACAATGATAATACAAATAAAAAAATACAGAATTAACAATTTGTATAGCATTCACATTGCATTAGGTATTATAAGTGATCTAGAGATGATTTAAAGTGTGCAAGAAGACATTCTTAGATTGTATACAAATACTGCACCATTTTCTATTAGGAATGTGAGCTTTCTCGGATTTTGGTATCTGAGAGGGCCTGGGAGCCGATCCCCCGAGGATACCAAGGGATGGCTATAGTAACAGCAGCTTCTCAGAGCGGTGGGGCTAGCTGAACAAGACAACCAATGCAAAGGGCTTATCCCGGGGCCTGGCAGGCAGTCCATGTAAATAAATGTTAACTGTAGTCATAATAGTTTTCAGTCAACTCGGGCAGACTCTAACCTTGTATGTCTTCTAGCTTGGGGCCAAAAAAGGAAGTTTGGGAGCCCAGAAACTAGCGAACACATGCTTTAATGAAATTGAAAAACAAGCTCAAGCGGTAGATAAAATGAAGGAGCAGGAAGACCTTCTGGCCAGGGCGGCCCCTAAGGAAGAATCAATGTAAGTTGAAGTTTGTTATAGTGATTTGTTTGGGGGAATAAAACTATTAATTAAACAACCCCAAGATTTGCTTTCCAAATGCCATTAATTTTTAAGTGTGTGTTTGAGGAAGGAACTGCATACTTTAGTTTTTTAAACACTGGTATTTCATTGATGTGTGGATTAGAAGGGAAAAGGACTGGTGGTGAGGGGACAGCAAGGATTTTTGGTTGAAGCTGTGAGGGGGGCAGGACTGGGGCAGTATCAGTGTGACGGGAAAGGTGGAGGCGCGGAGGAGCCATTTACACAGGAATGACTCTCAACACTGTGACTGTAGGGAATGGTGGATGACACCGCAGTAAGACACCATTCATGGGCACTGGGGCAAAAGAGTAAAAAAGACTGACCCACGTTGGCCAGGATGTGGGTGTGAGAAGTTGAAACCTTCTTACCTTGCTGAGGGCAGCGTAAAATGGTGCTACTGTTGTGCAAAACAGTTTCTCAGTCCTCCAAAAAGTTAAACATAGAGTTACCAGGTGACCCAGCAGGTCCACTCCTAAGTATATTATATACTCAAGAGAAATTAAAACGTAGAGCCACACACCTACACAAAAACTTGTACAGGATGTCACAGCAGCATTAATCCTAACAGCCAAAAAGTAGAAACAACCCAAATATCCACCAACTGATAAACAATAAACAAAATGTGGTATATTTAGAAAATTAAGTACTATTCAGCCATGAACAGTTGTGATGAATAGCCTCGATAAGTGTTACAACATGGTTAAATCGTGACAAGTATGTGCTGCTGGGTCCAGTGGCTCACACCGGTGGTCTCAGCTCCTCGGGAGGCTGAGGCAGGAGGATCCTTGAGCTCAGGAGTTTGTTACCAGCCTGAGCAACATAGAACTCTAGAAGGAAGGAAGGGAGGAAGAGGGGAAGGAAGGGGCAAGGGGAGGGCAAGGGGAAAGGACGGGAGAAGGGAGGGGATGGAAGGAAGATTAATGTTAAGGGCCAGGCTGGGTGGCTCAAGGCTGTAGTCTCAGCTACTTGAGAGACTGAAGCGCAAGGATCACTTGAGCCCAAGAGTTTGAGGTTGCTGTGAGCTAGGACAACACCACACTCTACCCAGGGTGGTAGAATGAGACTCTGTCTCAAAAAGAAAAAAATGAAAAGATTTATATTAAGAAAGAAACCAGGGTGGCACCTGTGGCTCAGTGAGTAGGGCACCGGCCCCATATACCAAGGGTGGCGGGTTCAAACCCAGCCCAGGCCAAACTGCAACAAAAAATAGCTGGGTGTCG